CATGCCAGTGTCTTCAGTGCCATTGAACATTCTCTGCCAATCATGCCCGAGGTAGAAAAAACTAGCGGTGTAAACGTACCTCTGTCAACTGCTGTCACCCGCTCTCCGTACTGGCGCTTCTTCATCCGTTCATGCGTTCGGAGCTGGCTGATGACTTCCTGACGCGACAGCAAGCTTGCCTTTGGGTGTGTAACCCGGATGTCGAAAAAGGCATCTTGCTGTCTCGTCCAGAAGCCACAAGCCCGGATGTCCAGGCGGGCACCTGCCGAGCGGTTGGCTGTCCTCCCTTGGAGCCGCTCACCATCATATGGTAGTAGAGGCGGTTCCACCTCCACATCCCGGACCGCCTCACGCATCACGTCAGCCAACAAGTCCCGGATCTCATTGTGGCGTGCCATGGGGTAGCCCCCTGCCGGACACATCATCGCATGGTCTATTGTGTTTGCAGCACCACATACACAGGTCAGGGGGAGTCCGTCAGGCTGCAGGCCGTAGCGGATGCAGAACGCATCTCGGAAATCCGATTTGTTCAGCACCATCTGCATTTGGGACGATGGTTCCGCCGTTACCCAAGATGATACGCCCTTTTCCGCGGCATTCTCCACCAACAGCGCCTGTGTTGCTGTCAAATCCGGGCGCAATTCGCTAACGAGACCCGTGGCTTGGGCAGCTTTCTCTCTGCGAATACGTCCGGCCTCCTGCCGGCTGAGGGCTATTGCCTCGTTCAGCTGGTCTGTTTGAGTAGTTTCGTTGGTGCTTGTTGGATGTTCTGGTGGTCTTATGCAGGCCGCCACAGGAGCCACAATCTGTCTGGATGCAGAAAACTCTTTCTCGGCCTCCACCGAGGGCACAGGGATTGCCATGCCACCAAACCGCGCTGGTAGCGATAGCAACTTTCTCAGTGCCGACTCGTCCGAACACGAATGGCCGCTACTACTACTACTACTACTACTACTACTACTACTACTACTACTACTACTACTACTACTACTACTACTACTACTACTACTACTACTACTACTACTACTACTACTACTACTACTACTACTACTACTACTACTACTACTACTACTACTACTACTACTACTACTACTACTACTACTACTACTACTACTACTACTACTACTACTACTACTACTACTACTACTACTACTACTACTACTACTACTACTACTACTACTACTACTACTACTACTACTACTACTACTACTACTACTACTACTACTACTACTACTACTACTACTACTACTACTACTACTACTACTACTACTACTACTACTACTACTACTACTACTACTACTACTACTACTACTACTACTACTACTACTACTACTACTACTACTACTACTACTACTACTACTACTACTACTACTACTACTACTACTACTACTACTACTACTACTACTACTACTACTACTACTACTACTACTACTACTACTACTACTACTACTACTACTACTACTACTACTACTACTACTACTACTACTACTACTACTACTACTACTACTACTACTACTACTACTACTACTACTACTACTACTACTACTACTACTACTACTACTACTACTACTACTACTACTACTACTACTACTACTACTACTACTACTACTACTACTACTACTACTACTACTACTACTACTACTACTACTACTACTACTACTACTACTACTACTACTACTACTACTACTACTACTACTACTACTACTACTACTACTACTACTACTACTACTACTACTACTACTACTACTACTACTACTACTACTACTACTACTACTACTACTACTACTACTACTACTACTACTACTACTACTACTACTACTACTACTACTACTACTACTACTACTACTACTACTACTACTACTACTACTACTACTACTACTACTACTACTACTACTACTACTACTACTACTACTACTACTACTACTACTACTACTACTACTACTACTACTACTACTACTACTACTACTACTACTACTACTACTACTACTACTACTACTACTACTACTACTACTACTACTACTACTACTGACTGCTCGGAGGTGGATGCACTTTTCAGTGCTCCCGTGTTCTTTGAATTTGAGTGCCCAGTGTGCATTTCCCTCGGTTCCTTGGCTTGCGGTGCTCGTCGATATCTAGCGTGCTAGCTATCTAGCCTGGTCATTATCCTTTCAGCGGTAGTCCCTTCAGTTAGGGACTTGGAGAGCATCGAGAGTTTTGCGAAATTTCTACAATATTCTAGTCCCAGCCGTATTACAGTACCAGCGTTGCCTTGCTGGTGTCGCAGCTCATTGCGCCTAGTGCTGGCGGGTGGCGTCGCACACACATCTCCAGCTTGTGGAGCGCGTCGGATCAGCTTTCTAATCAGCTTTCTCGCCATGGTTACCGTGTGCATGGTTACCGTGTGCACTGTGCAGTTGTAATCGATCTCTACTAGTACTACTCTAGCGCTCTGGTGGCATGTCACAGCCCGCTGGTGGATCGAAGCCATGCTGTGTGTGCAGCAAGTCGACTGGGAGCTGCCGTGGCTGCTCGTGTGCTGTGTCAGCCAGGGCCTGCGAGAGCTGCTACCCTGGTCGTGCGGGTAGGTGCCGCAATTTTGGTAATGCTCAGCTGGTTCCGATTGTGCCGGTTGCAGATCCGAATCCAGCATTCCATTCGGATAGATCTCCTGAGAGGCCAGGCTTTTTGGGCAGGCGGCGCCGCTCATCACCTGGCGCTGTCGGAAGGGGCAGGAGTCATGCTCGGGATGGGTCGGCCTCCAGGTCTCCGGTGGCTCGTGTACCGGGACGCCGTGGTCGTAGCCGTCGTGCACTTTCGCCCCGATTGAGACACATTGATGGCCCTGTGCGTGGCGCTTCCACTCCACCGCCCGCCGGGTGTGTTGATGGTGCTGCAGCTGCTGCTGTCTCCATTGCGGCAATGAATGTCCCCAGCCGTGATTCCAGGGATCCCAGTTCGAGGGATGACGGTGCCCCAGTTTCGGAGCCTGTCCCGCGGCCTGGAGCCCCGGATGTGGCACCGCGCTCTGCTGTTGGATCAGAGCCGGTTTCTAACGCCCCTGGTGCACGTGGTTCTGTGCCGGATCCGGGACCGGATCCTGCTGCTGCTGCTGCTGTTACTACTGAGTCTGTTCTCAGCGCATATGAAGAGGTCATCACGTGGCGTCGGAATCTATTTATTGTGCCATATGGAGCCGTGGGTCGGCGGTTTGTGGCTCTGCTGGCTGACCTCATGCACTCGTTTGCTGTTGGTGGTGCAGCGCGCCGGCATGCCTGGGCGGCTGTGGTCGTGGCTTCCCAGTTGCTCCTACAGAAGCCATGTGCTACCCAGTACGGGGCTTCGGCACCGCACCTTGATCGGCGTCTCGGCCTATGGGAATCTGGGCGGATTGGTGAGCTGCTGCGCGAGGGACGGTGCCTCCAGGCACATTTGCCCCCTCTTCGGGACTCTGGGCCTCGGGAGGCAGATGGGCAAATTGATGATATGAGATTCAGCAAGCTGGTCTTCTCCGGCAGAATACAATCGGCCATTCGTCTCGCCTCATCAGCCTCGTCCGGTGGGGTATTGGCGATGGATGAGGTCATGGACGCCGACACTGGGAAGACCGTGAGAGATGCACTTCTCGAAAAGCACCCATTACCTGCTAGCCCTGACCCGAGCGTTCTGGTGGATGCGGCGGACAGGCCTGAATGTGATCCCATTCTGTTTGAGAGGCTGACACCCGCCTTGATTAAACGCGTCGCTCGCGAGATGTCCGGCTCATCCGGCCCGTCTGGCCTTGACGCAGAGGCTTGGCAGCGAATGCTGACATGCTACGGAACTTGTTCGGACCGGCTGGCTTCTTCCATGGCGGAGACCGCCAGGCTTCTGTGCAGGGAGGATGTTGACCCGGATTCCTTGGCAGCCTTCACTGCGGCCCGGCTGATTCCGCTCAATAAGAACCCGGGCGTGCGGCCAATCGCAGTGGGTGAGGTGTTCCGTAGGATCATCTGCAAGGCTGTCGCCCGAGTGATAGAGCCTGACATGCTCATGGTCACGGCTCCTCTGCAGCTGTGCGCGGGTGTCCCATCTGGCTGCGAGGCTGCGGTACATGCCATGGAGCACCTCTTTGAGCAACCAGCGACTGAGGCGATCCTACTGGTAGATGCAGGGAACGCTTTCAACTCGCTGAACCGTGCCGTCGCCATGCATAATGTACCCGTGGTCTGCCCGCCGCTTGGCCAGATCTTCCACAACACCTACCGTTCGCCAAGCCGATTGTTTGTTGCTGGTGGTGGCGAAGTGCTGTCGCGCGAGGGTACCTGTCAGGGCGATCCCTTGGCGATGGGAATATACGCTGTGGCCATAACGCCTCTCATACGCCGCTTGGGAGAGCTCTGCCCCGATATCGTGCAGGAGTGGTACGCTGACGACGATTCCGCCGCTGGCCGTGTCCGGTCTCTGTTGCGCTATTGGAACAGTGTGAAGGAGCTTGGCCCGGCCTACGGATATACCCCTAACCCAACGAAAACGGTGCTGCTGGTCAAGGAGGAGTGTTTGGAGGAGGCGTCCACCCTGTTCGCCGGCACCGGCATCAAAATCATAACCTCCGGTTGTCGATATCTGGG